GCTGACAGACGTACGTGCCCACAGACGGATGTGCCCGGCTGACAGACCTACGTGCCCRGCTGACAGACGTACGTGCTTAGCTGACAGACATACGTGCCTGGCTGACGGACCTACATGTCTTGCTGATGGATGTACTGCCCAGCTGACAGACGTACCTGCCCAGCTGACAGATGGACGTGCCCAGCTGACAGATGTACACGCCTGGCCAACGGATGTGCTGGCCTGGCTGACCTGTGTTGGTGCTTGGGTGCTTCCGTCTCCAGGAGTGCCTGCAGCCTCGTGTGCCGGTCCCCTTTTGCAGCAGTGGTGACGTCCACTAGCACCTGCTCTCTGCACCTCCTGAGAGTCCACACCAAACCAGCAGAGGCTGTGGCCCTGCTCTTGCTGGCCACCCGAGTCCAGCAGCCCTCAGAAGTGCCTGTGCCCCTGCTGCCCTGCCCTGCGCGGGGACTGTCGGTCTCTCCTGCCTTGAGGGCGGTGGGCGTGGTGTGTCTCGGGTCACTGTCCTCCTCAGTCTTGCCCTTGAGAGCTTTTCAAAACGCAGGCGTAGGGTTCTGCTGCCAGTTCCTCTGCCGTTTCTGGTTTTGCCACAGTTTTGAGAGTGAGTGTGGCCTCATTTCAGAAGGCACTTAGCCGTGTGTTGGGGTGACTCCCTGAGGAGCCTGTGGCAGTCCCCTGACGAGAACCCTCCCCAGCCATTTTCCTGAGAAGAGGAGCCGGGGTCTAAGCCAACACGAAGCGCCCTGGCTCCACGTCCGTCCTTCTGAAGGGCAGCAGCTGGCAGGGGGCCGGGCAGGCATCTGTCCCGGAGGCACYGTGAGGACGTGTCTTTCGCAGGTCCACTCGCCTCCTGTGCCTGGGGGTCCTGGGTAGAAGGCGGCCAGCTCCCCAGCCTCTGCCATGGAGGAGCCCCTGGAGTGGGCGGGACCGGGCGGGAGCTACTGTCCTGTGGCCTCTAGACTGYGGAGGCAGCTGTTGGGGGCGACTGGCCACCGGCTGTGGGTCTACAGAGGCGTCCGGCGACCCGCGGGGTGTCCCCGCTGATGTCCTGTGCAGCGGCAGAGGCCTGTGCACAGCTGGCCCTGCCGTCCTCGCTGCCCTTACTGACCTCTGATCCGTCTGGGCTCTCTCTTTTAACCTTTTCTTCCTTTGAGTTCCGAAAGGAGTAACCTACCGGCCTTTTGCTGGAGGATGTTATAAATGGAAATTCAGTGTCATTCCGGCAGCTTTGTGGACTGGAGGAGTGGTGTGTGTGTCACTCGGCCGTGGAGGGAAGCCCAGGTCTCAGCCAGTGGCCTGGGGTGCAGGGCAGTGTCCAGGGCCTTCCCGGGTCCTCAGTGCCAGTAGCAGGAGCACCTGCCCGGCCTCACAGGGAGTGGCCGCCCAAGTCCACCCTGGGCACTGCTCAAGTTCCAGGAGCACCTGGGACCGAGTGGGTCCCAGGGCCCCGGAGCGAGTGGGGGCTTCGCACAGGGTCCTGTGGCGCTGGCCAAAGCCCCTGTGCCTCTGTCCAACTGCACAGGAGAGTGAGTGCTCATTTCCCCCTTAAAATCAGAGCCGTGGTCCTCTTGCCTTAGAGTTCCAGAGTTCTAAAGTCCGTGACGTAGCTCTAAGGGGTGGACGAGTAGATCATTCTGCAGGCCCACCAGAGAGTCGTGTTTAAAATATAGAACGGCTAGACTTAGTTATGGAGCCTGTTCACACAATCTTGTATTTTGTGCTTGTATTTTTTTTCTATCATGGAACATATTAAGAGTTCTGAGGTAAAGATCCCTGCCTATAATGAAGAATTTCAAATGAATACCAGAAATAAAGTCGTATCCTTCAAAAATAATCTCTAAAAAGTCATAGTGTTTTATATAATTATGTAAACAGCTTTTTTGAATTATAAACTAAATGAAATGGTCACATATATGGGTTGACTATTTTTAAACTGAAAAACTAATTAGTTTGTGGATGTGTTTTAAAGTGCTGCTTCCTCTTGTGAGAGATGCCGCAGTTTAAAACTCAGGGGCATCGGGGGTGGGTGCCCTTGGGCAAGAGGGCCTCCCTGGGTGAATGGGGCGTCTGTCTGTCCCGACACGCTGCCATTTCACAGACTAATTAATGGGGACTTCGGGGGATTAAGTTACTGTCTAAAATGTAGAAAAGATCGAGTAAAGTATTTCTGGATGATTCAGAATATTCTCAGTAGAAAAACTTTTAAAGTTCTTTACCCTTTGCCAGGCAGGGTGGACAGGCTTGKGACCCAGCAGCTCTGGGGGCTGAGGCCGGACTGCAGGCTGAAGACCAGCCTCAGCAACTTAGTGATGCCCTCAGCTACTTAGCCAGACCCTGTCTCAGAGAGAACAAAAAGGACTGAAACCTGGCCTGCGGCTGAGCGCCCCGGGCTCAACCCCCAGAACCACTTCTTCAACTTGCCCTTTAGGCAGAGGCCACAGGGGAGCTAGGTGGCCACTGAGCCACTGTCGGTGCAGTGCCCAGGCTGGCAGTTCTCGGGCTGGCAGGGAGGAGCGGGGCACACACACACCACTCACCATTGCAAAGAGGCCAAGGAATCTGTAAATTTTGCATTTACAAGGTCCTGCAACGAAGGCGTTGCAAGTTACTCTTTCTGGGCACCGCAGGTTCCAGCAGCACTGACATCAAGGAGAACCGTAGTCTGGACATCGTGTCCCCCAAGGACGGCAGTGCCCCTGGGCCTGGTGAGGGCCTGCAGCTCCCTGGTGGGGGCAGCAGTGGCACTGGCCGGAAGCGGCCCCTGGAGGAGGGCAGCAATGGCCACTCCAGGTACCGCCTGAAGAAGCGGAGGAAAGCGCCAGGGCCCGTGCTGCCCAAGAATGCACTGATGCAGCTGAACGAGATCAAGCCCGGCCTGCAGTACACGCTGCTCTCCCAGACGGGGCCCGTGCACGCCCCGCTCTTCGTCATGTCCGTGGAGGTTAATGGGCAGGTCTTCGAGGGCTCCGGCCCCACCAAGAAGAAGGCCAAGCTGCATGCTGCAGAGAAGGCCCTGAGGTCCTTCGTCCAGTTTCCCAATGCCTCCGAGGCCCACCTGGCCATGGGTAGGACCCTGTCCGTGCACACAGACTTCACTTCTGACCAGGCCGACTTCCCTGACACGCTCTTCAATGGCTTCGAGACCCCAGACCGGGTGGAGTCCTTCTGCATGGGCTCCAACGGAGACGAGTCCCTCAGCTCCAGCGGGGACCTCAGCCTGTCGGCCTCTCCTGTGCCCGCCAGCCTTGCCCAGCCCCCCCTGCCGGGCCCACCACCCTTCCCACCGCCCAGCGGGAAGAACCCTGTGATGATCCTGAACGAGCTGCGTCCAGGGCTGAAGTATGACTTCCTCTCCGAGAGTGGGGAGAGCCATGCCAAGAGCTTCGTCATGTCCGTGGTGGTGGACGGCCAGTTCTTCGAGGGGTCGGGCAGGAACAAGAAGCTGGCCAAGGCTCGGGCTGCACAATCGGCCCTGGCCACCATCTTCAACCTGCACCTGGACCAGACACCATCACGCCAGCCCGTGCCCAGCGAGGGGCTGCAGCTGCACCTGCCACAGGTAAGAGGTGCATGCTGGAGCAGCAGCCCCACGCCTGGCCACACTGCGCAGCGTGGGCTCTGCCTCAGCAGGAAGTGGGCTGGTAAGTCTGGCAGGGCAGCTCTCCTTGATTTCACGGCCGGGTCGGGGAGAGGCCATGGTCCCTAGTGCACGCTGGGGCTGTCAAGGGCAGTGCAGGGACTCCCAAGACCCCGTCCCCAGGGCAGTCTCAGTCACGACCTGTGGTCCCCACAGCAAGCCCTGTCAGGATGGGGAGAGCCCAACACTGGACCTGGCCCTTCAGCGAATGCTCGCTCACCTCCCCAGGGGAGTCTGTGCACCAGGTCAGGGCTGCTGGACCACTACGGGAAGCCAGGAGACCCAGGCTGCATTCCCCAGGCAGCAGCCTAGCAGGGCAGAGAAGGTGCTGGGAGCAATGGGGACCACATGCCAGAGGGGCATCCAGCAGGACTCCAGGGCCTACCAGTTGCCCAGGAGTCTCTGCACCCTGAGTGCCCTGCGTGGCACCTGTGTGAGGCTCCTTCCTGCTTGACTGGACATGGGAGGCCTCTGAGGTTTGTCCCCTGCCCTGATAAAATCAAGGTGAAGACAGGGAGCTGCAGTGGCTCTGGTGGCATCTGAGAGGGAGGGAGTGGGGGCCTTGGCTCTCTGGAGGCCCAGCTGCTGCAGTCTTGCTTCTGTCCTTGGAGCCCGAGTCCTGCTGGTCTGTGGTGAGGACCGCATTCCACTCCTGTGCTGCTTCCTCTTCCTGCGCCTTCTTCTGGGGAGGCGGTGCACCCTCCAGACCAGGGCCAGGCAGGCTTACATCCTCCTGGGGACAATATGGGGTTTCTGTTGACCCCTGCAGCTGGAGTCTGGGACCAGGAGTTCTGCTGCAGAGGAGGAACTGGTTCTCTTCTGCCTCTAGCGACTGAATGCCGTGTCATGGAGGGACAGCTGATGCCGTGGGGAACCAGTGCTTGCTTCCTGCATTTGCCCTGGCCAGTATCGCTCCCCGAGCTGCTGGTCCGGCTGCCGTTGTGCAGACTGGCAGCAGCAGTTCCCCAGGGATGCCTCGCCCTGGGCCTGTGCCTGGCTTGGGCTTCTTCACTGGCGCAGAAGTCTGCCGTGCCCATCGTCCCTGTCCATGGTGCTCTCCAGGCCCTGCGTGCTCAGCTGATGTGGGTCTTTACCCAGGCCCCGAGGGGACATGGACAGCGCAGGGAAGCAGATGGAAGCGTGCCCAGGGGTACATGGCCTGGCCGTGCCTCAGCCACCTCAGTGAGGAGAGGACCGAGTGTCCAGCTTGGGAGTGTCCAGCTTGGGAGGGCTTCTAGTGGGGCCTGGCTGTGGGAAGGGGCACGGCTGGCAGGCCCCGGCTTGCTTCTGGCCCTCTGTAGTCCAGAACCTCGGGTGGGAGCTGTGTCCTCCCAACCCTCCTGTGTCCCCTCCTGTGTCCGCTCAGCCCTCCGCAGTGTCTCCTGAAGCCYTCGGGCTCAGGCGGGTCCTGTGTTGCTCAAAGGACCGGGGTGGGCCTTCCTAGGACTGGTCCTGCTGGGCATGTTGCTGGCCTCTGCGGTTTTCTGCCTGGAGGTTTCAGAGCACCTGTTTTGGAGTGGACAGGGGTCTTTGCTGTTTTCCTGGGGTCACTGGAAGGCCCCAGGCCCAGCCTCCTGGTTCAGGACCACCTCCCCACATTCCTGGCACAGGGGGCTTAGGGAGTTCAGAGTGTTGGCCACGTGAGGTCTGCGGGCTTTCATCCACCTCAGGGCTGGGCAGGCTGTGGAGGCTCCCGGGCTGCTGTGTGGCTACTGGGACGCGTGGCCTGGCCTGGCTGGCAGAGCCTGCTACCTCCGCATCACAGCCACCTGGACTCAGAGGGGCTGCTTCTGCACCACAGGGCGCGAGGCCAGCCTCCCCTCGTGGTTCTAGCTCTCCGCTCCCCGGGCACTGGTGCTGGGCTGCCCCTAGGCAACGGCAGCTGGTTTCCTGGCTGATTCCCACCTGCTGCCCGGGGTGTGAGTGCCCTGCATGGCCTTCTTCGCTGGCCTCTGTCCGCCCTCAGGCCTGTGCTGCTGATGTCCCCGGGGCTGAGGGGGCGTTGGGGGTCCAGCACACCACACCTGCCCTGTCCTGTGTTCTGGGTGCCCTGGTATCTGCTGTGCAGGGACGGGGACAGTCCTGCCCAAGGAGGGTAGCCCCTGGGAGCAGTGGCATTGCCTTGCGCTGTGGACGCGCTTCCCGAGGATCAGGGGACAGGGTTTGCCGGGGCCACTGGGTTGTGCAGACAGGTGAGTTGGTGGCATCTGGCAGAGTTGGCTTGACACCCCAAAGACTCTGTCACTGTCTCCAAGATACATCTGCAGCCGAGAAGCCCACCTCGGGGCCTGACAGAGGCACTTGGCTCGAGCAGGGCACCCTGTGGCCAGGCGTCCCCCCTGCCGTGTTGGCACCGCCCCCTCCAGGCTCAGTGCCCTTTGTCACAGGAGGGCCAAAGAGGACCTGTTCCCTCCCTGAAAGTGCTGTGGCCACAGCAGGGTGGCTGAGGGTCAGCAGGCAGGGCAGCAGGTCCAGGCCTGGGTTCCCCGGTGAGGGGGCTGGGGCCTGGAGGAGCCCCAGCTGAGTCCCACATGACATTTTGGCCCCTGTTTCGAGGGATGTTTTGGAGGAAACACACATTTGTCACCTTTACCCAGTGGTCCCTGGGGTGGCCATGGTCCGCCAGCGTCCCTGTGTGAGGGGCCGCGTGTGTTGGCATGGAGAGGCGCTGGCTCCCAGGTGTACGAGGCCTGACCTCAGGTCCTTCCTCCCCAGGTGCTGGCAGACGCCGTCTCGCGCCTGGTCCTGGGTAAGTTCAGTGACCTGACGGACAACTTCTCCTCGCCTCACGCACGCAGGAAAGTGCTGGCTGGAGTCGTCATGACCACAGGTAGCCGTGTCCACCTGTCTGCCCCTCCTCTTTCCCTGTGTGGTCTGCCACGGGCCCGGGACTCGAGCGGCAGGTGGACCTTGCTCTCATGGGCGGGGCTCTGGGTGCAGGCAGTAGCTGCCCTGGGCCCTCCCCCTGGACRCGGTGCAGCTCGGCAGAGTCAGGCCACCCAGCCCAGGGCACAGCAGTCGGGCCTGACGCCCAGGCCAGCCCAGGAGGGCTCCTCCTGTCCCCTCCTGTGGACGGCCTCTGGCCTCTGCCTATCCTGAGGCAGCTGACAGGGAGCCTGGCTACCAGGCCGAGGGCTGCYGGGGAGGGGCTCAACCAGGGGCAGGACGGCTGGGGAGTGCAGGTCAGAGGGCGGGGGAAGCGCTGGTCATTCCTCAGGTTCTTCCAGAAGTTTCCAGGAGTGAAAGAAGCTGGGGTCCTTCCTGGAAACTCTGAGGAAAAGCCAGTGCCTGGCCCCTGGGTGGGGTGGGGCCCAGGAGAGGACCCTGTTTCCTGGGGGCTCTACTCCCAGCCTGGGTCACCCAGCATGGACTCTCCAGTGCAGGCAGAGGCCAGGCAGGGAGGGAGGTGGGGAGGGTGACACCTGCCAGCCAGGGAGAAACCTGGTTCCCTGTGCAGGGGACCGTGGCCCCTCTCCCAAGGTGGCCACCTCTTCAGGTGGTAGGGGGACATGAGTCTGGTGCCCGGGAGCCGTGGCTGCTGTGGTCATGGCTGTGCTGCTGGCCGCAGCCTCCCACTCCAAGGCTCCTCTCAGGAGAGCCCCAGTGTCTGGCGCCTGGGCCTGCCCGTCTTAGGGTGCCACTTGTGAGCTGGCTCCCTGCGAGCCCCGTGCCCTCAGGGGTGAGGCCAGCTGCTCCTTCCTCAGGTGCCCAGGTACCGGGGAAGAGGTGGCACCACATGCTCAATCTTCCCGTGATCGTGGCTCAAAGCCAAAAGTGCGTCTGAAGCCAGGGGGCAGCAGCACTGGCCTGGCATTGCCGGGAGTCAGCCTGCTGAGGACGGTCCGCCAGGGCGCCGCCCCTGCCACCTCTCAGCCCTGGCCACAAGGCGAGGCTGCCACTGGCCCCCACCCAGGTCACTGTGTCTCTTCTGGCACAGGGGGTGGGACCCAGGGCCTCTGGGCCTAGGCAAGTGCTAGGCTGTACCCTGAGCCCCACCCAGCTCACACCAGTCTCTGGGCCTGTGGCCTGTCCCGCCAGGCTGTCCCAGGTGCCCCTCGCCAGTATGGTTGAACGTGACAGGCTCTCAACGTGAGGGGCCTCGGCACCTTTGAGCCCTCTGCTGCACCTCTTGGGTGATGTGGTTCTGGCTTCACCCTGACTCCCAGGCTGGCCAGCCTCTTCACGGTGCCTTGTTCCTGGGCAGTGGGGAGGGGCAGTGCACCTGCCCTGCTGCATGAGGGCCCTGTGCTCCGGGACGGGCTGGGCAGGTGTGAGCGCAGGCGGGCAGGCAGCAGCAGGCAGCGGGGCGGCTCATCATCTGTGACCTGGAGGGCCTGGGCGTCTCCCGCGTGGCTGCAGCGCTCTCCTGCCCTCCAGGCACAGACGTGAAGGACGCCAAGGTGATCAGTGTGTCCACGGGGACCAAGTGCATCAATGGGGAGTACATGAGCGACCGCGGCTTGGCGCTGAACGATTGCCACGCGGAGATCATCGCCCGCCGCTCCCTGCTCAGGTTCCTCTACACGCAGCTGGAGCTCTACCTGAAGTGAGTGCGGAGCCCCTGACGCGGTGCAGACCCTGGAACAGCATGTGGGCGTGATCCCGCTGCTGCCCTGCTCTGCCCGCGCTCAGTCCCAAGAGCCACGAGTTAGGAACACATGCGCAGGCACAGCTGCAGGCACATGCCCTGTGGACGTGGCCGGGCTCTGGTCCCCAGGCCTGCGAAGGCCGTGTGGTCTCGCTCCGTGCAGTGTGGACGTGAGGAGCCTCCCCAGGCCTGGCCTGACCTTCCTTTGCCAGGCCACGCGCTGTGTCTGGCTGCTTGAAAACACGCATGGGGGGCAGGAGTCGCTCCTGCTCAATGACCCAGCCCTCCCCGAGGTGGCCTGAGGTCCCGCTAAGCCGGCCTGCCTGTGGGAAGCACCCTGGAAACCCTGCCTCTCAACACAGCAGCTCAGGTCACCTCTGCCACTGCTCCTTTGTTGATTGGTTTTGCAGTAGCAAAGAGGACCAGAAGAGCTCCATCTTCCAGAAGTCRGAGCGCGGAGGGTTCCGGCTGAAGGACACCGTGCAGTTCCACCTGTACATCAGCACCTCTCCCTGCGGGGACGCCCGGATATTCTCGCCCCACGAGCCGGTGCTCGAAGGTGTGAGGCTGGACCAGCAGGCAGCAGGTCCTCAAGGAAACTTACCCCGTAGTGAGGGCAGGCGCAGCATGCGGTGTCCTGGGTGTGGGTCCGATGGGAGATGCCGTCACAGCACGGGCTCCTTCTTCTCAAGTGGCCGTTGAACCAGAAAATGCTAATGAATGCAAAATGCCAATTCTAAAGCAAGAAAGGAAAATGCAACTTCGGATTAACTGAGTCCTGAGAACAGGGTGAAGGTGTCAGACCAAAGTCGTACCCACACCCACGCCCGAGTGTCTGAATCGGGTGCCCGGTGCTTCTGTGTGTGGCAACTAACTCCCTGACGCGCTCCCTGACTAATGTGTGACCCAAGCACAGAGCTGCTACTTCAGGAGTGGTGGACACTGGTGCCAAGTGGGCCACCGTCACCGCCAGCCAGTGCCCTGGTTGTGGCAGTTTGTATCCATGTCCTTCTCCCAAGGCTGGGCATGTCCGTCCACACTGCGGGTTTGGTGACATCCTCTTCCTTGATTATAAAGCCAATGTCGTCCCCCAGCGAGTGGCTGCTATTAAAATATGAGAAAGAGGGGCTGGGGCTGGGGCTCAGGGGTAGAGCACCGCCTGGTTCAGTCCTCAGCACCACATATAAATGAAGTAAAGATATTAAAGAAATCTATGAGAAAGAAAGTGGAAACCACTCAGTGGGTGCCCCAGGGCTAATGGTGGCTGTGCGCTGGCTTCCCGGGGATGTGCCCCGGCACACCTTACGGAAAGCTCTTTGGTATACAAGGGGTAAGCTACAGCGAATGCCCCTGGCCGAGTCAGCAGCCCTGGGTGCGTCCTCCTGTTCTCTCCCACCATTGTCTGGATGGAAATCGTCTCAGTGGGGATGGAAGGCTCCTTGCCCTCCCCCACGGAGGCCMCTTCTTGAGTCCTTTCTGTAAACCTGAGCTGCATGAGTGTCTTGTGTAGGTGGCATGAACGTGCTGCATGTGTGCAGATACTTCAGGCCTGGACGTGCCACGGCCTGGTGCTCCACCCTGACCTTTGAACTTGCTTTCTCTCTCAGAACCCTCAGATCGACATCCAAACCGCAAAGCGAGGGGACAGCTGCGGACAAAAATTGAGTCTGGCGAGGGGACGATCCCAGTGCGGTCGAACGCCAGCATCCAGACGTGGGATGGGGTGCTGCAGGGGGAGAGGCTGCTGACCATGTCCTGCAGCGACAAGATAGCACGGTAAGGCTGCCAGGGCTGCGGGCCTTCCCGCCGACCACCTTCTCCCCTGTGGGTGCTCCAAGCCCTCTGGAGGATGCAGCTTTCCAGGGCCAGCTGGAGGGACAAGGCTGCCTCTCCAGGAGGCTCTGCCCCTCCCGTCTCATGCCTGGATGCCCAGGCAGAGGGTGTGTGGAGTGCGCTGCAGGTGACATCTTGGACCGCCCTCTCCCGAGGGAGGCACGGGACCCTCAGCAGCAGAGGGGACAGCCCTGGTGCTTGGACCCTCCCTGGACACGGAGGGTGGCTGACACCCACACACCCGCCACAGGCAGGCGTTCTGAGCTCAGAGCCCCGAGCCGAGTAGGGGCCGCACGGCTGGCCGCCCTAGTAGGTGGCCCGGGAGCCACCTGGTCTCTTAGCTGTGTGCAGGTCATCTGTGGCGCCAAGGCTCAGTGCCCGTCCCGAAGCTCTCAGAGCCCACGTGCCATTACGGCGCACACGGGCACCCGGGTGATGACCTGTAGTGCCCAGTTCTGGGAGGGGCAGGCCACACGGCAGCCTGGCAGCCTGTCTTCACACTGACCCACGGGCGGACCACACACACCTCGTCTGTGATGCTCTTGAATGGGGCGGGGATCCCCAAGTTCCTGGGGCTGGGTTAGTCCTACACTTGGTCTGTCCTGCCGGAGTGTGGCGGGTGGAGTCTGTCATCTGCGGTGCCTGGGCCAGTGTGTGGCGGGTGTCAGATTATGGGACGTGGAACATCTGCAGACTTGACCAGTGCGAGATCCCTAACCTGAAACCTGATGTCAGGGAAAAAAGGCCTGGCCCACCTGAAGCCCCGGCTCAGCCTTACCCAGCGTAGCCTCAGCCGCCGGCCTGCACATGGTCGTGGGTGTGTCCGTGTGTCCTAGAATACAGACGTAGAGCAGCTGAGCTGCCCTCTGCTCCTCACCTGCCAGTCACTGCCCACAGTCCCYGCCCAGGTGCTCCAGGGGGACATGGGGGTGGGACATGTGGGTGTCCTTCCACTGCCCCACCTACAGACCTTACTATCCTGACACCTGGCCCATCCTGGTCCCCCTGACRCCTACCCCATCACGCACCTGATACCTGCCCCCTGGGAGCCCCTTATTCCTACCCATCAGGGAACCCTGACCCCCACCCCGTCACGGATCCCCCGACGGCCACCCCGTAGTGAACCCCCCTGACGCCCACCCCGTGGCGGACACCTGACGCCCAGCCTCTCTGAGGCACTTGCCAGTGTCTGGAGTCAGTCTTGGCTGGGAGGTTGGACTGCGCCCAGTGGCCTCCCCCTTGGCCCTGCCTGCCAGGCCTTGGGCCGTTCCTGCACATTGCAAGTGGGAGTCGGGCTTGGTTGACGCTGCTCTCACCAGTGGGGAGGCAGAGGTCCTGCTGAGAGACAGGGCCGTCCACCTCACGTCCTGCTCCCGTGGGCCTGCTCTCGGGCCCTGTGGTGCGCAGAGCACCTCGTGGCTGGTCTCCATCGTCCTGTGTCTCCCCAGCTCCTTTCCCTGCTTGGTGGCAGCGTCACCCTCTTTCCTTTTCTGTACTGGGGATTGAACAGGAACGCCTAACCCCTGAGCCACGTCCCAGCCCTATTTTGTACTTTTCCCCATCCGTTTGGCTGTTATCGGGAAGGACGGCTGTGAGATGTCTTCCCGGGAGCATGCATGTGGTCCTTTGTGTAACGTTCGTTGACTTGACTCTCAGATCTGTGAGGACACAGGAGAAGAGCCCACCGCAGTGAGGGCTTGTCTGCCGTAGCGTGGCGTCTCCCAGTCTCACTAACTGGTGACTCCAGGGAATGTTGTGTTGACAGCCACAGCCAAAGGGGCCCCAGCAAACTTCCAGCTGCCGGCTGATGATTGGCTCACAGTGGCCCCAACAACATCTAGCTGATTGGCTCCTCTTCGGTGATGCTCATTGGGCTGTTTCCCTGCCCTTCAGACTGCCAGCTGATGATTGGCTCACAGCGGCCCCAGCAACATCTAGCTGATTGGCTCCTCTGTGGTCATGTTCATTGGGCTGTTTCCCTGCCCTTTCAGACCATGGAGCTGCTCATTGGGGGACTTCTTTGGCTCCTCCCACACGACCCAGCCAATCGGCCTCAAGAGCAGGAGGATTGGGGGAGGTGGTGAGTTTTGTATGGGGGAGAGGCTGGTGGAAGCCGGTGGTGGCAGTTGGGCTCTGAGGGTTTTTCCTGAGGAGCTGTTTTGTTTGGCGTGTGTGGTTCTAAAAATAAAGGTCGTTTCTTTTGACAAGTGGCTCCTGAATCGTGCCCAGCCAGACTGCGGCAGTGTTGCAGCCTGTATGTTTACAGTGATAGCCCACAGTTTCCCTAGATCATGGTATTGTTCTCGAAGGGCTTCATTATACCCAGTAAAGTTTGTTTAGGGAGGGTTTGTGCCATCTTAGTTGGTGAAGAATTGGTCACTGATATCACTATTATTATGTTAACATTGATGACAATGATAAGGGAAGAGTTTAGAATGGAACCTCTCTCACCAAGGCTGGCTAACGGTTTTGTTGGGTTTCATTCTTAGTTGGCTTTGGTATCCCATTCTGCATTTTATTAGAGACAGGGTCTCGCTGAGTTGCTTGGTRCCTCACTGAGTTGCTGAGGCTGGTTTGAACTCGCAGTCCTCCTGCCTCAGCCTCCTGAGCTGCTGGAATTCCAGGTGTGTGCCACCAYGCCCAGCCAGCATCACCCTCTTCAAGGTCACTCACCCGGGGGCATCCTTGCCTTGGTGCTGGACTTGGTGCTTGGGTCCAGTTCACACTGAGTGGGATTTTCACAGCGGGCCTCATTGGGCGGAGGTGCCACCCTTCCACTCCTGTGTCTGTCACGGGAGGGGGTCAGATCTGCCTCGTGCTCACCCTGCCCCACTCCAGGGGAYGAGTGGTGCTGCCCCTCGTTCTGCTGATACCGTCAGCGGCACGGATGGATGTCCCCTGGTGAACTGCCGTGCATTCCCGAGCCAGCGCCCTGCTGGTGGCCTAGGCTCACAGCGTGCTGTGGCACTGATCTGTAGTGTTCTGTTGAGGGTTTTTTTGTTAACATTCATCAGAAATACTGATCTTGGTTTGCTTTCCTGTAGCGTCCTCATCTGGCTGTGATTGCAGGGTCATGCTGGCCTCGTAGGATGAGTGTGGACGGGATTCTTCCTCTTAACTCTCTGGGAAGAATTCCGGGAGGATTGGTGCTGGGTGTTGTGGGATTCTGCAGCGAGGCCGGTGGCCCTGAGCTGCTCTCTGCAGGAGGTGTCTCTGGCTCTGCCTCTCGCCACCCRTGGCCTAGTGAGGTTCTGGTTTTCTTCCTGGTGAGCTGCGGTCGGCCGCAGGGTGGGAGCCTGTCTGTCTCCTGGTCATCCCTCTGTTGTGTCCCCTACGGTTCTCTCCACGACCGCGGCCATGGTCCTACTGTTTCCTTTGGTGTTTCTGGTTTTTAAGTTTCTCTACTTAGTGACAGTAGCCAAGAGCTTGTCAGTTTTGTTGGCTTTTACTCAAAGGCCCTCTCAGTCTCCCTGAGTCTCCTCCCTGGCCTCGCTGCTTCCTGCTGGATTTGGCTGAGCTTCTTGGTGCTGGTCCGGGAGGTGCTGGGTTGCAGTGTGGATTCGAGACCTCGCGTGGCTCTGAGCCAGCGCGCCGCGTCCCGCCGTGTTGGCCAGCTGTGGTCCTCTCCGTCCGCCCGAGGGCATTTCCTGACTGCTGGTGACCTCTTCCCTTCTCCCACATCTCTGCCACCTCCTGGTGGCGCACCTCGTGGCAGTGCGCTTCGGCCCGTGTCCCTCCCCGGCATTTCCCCTCCTTCCCCGGACCCTTTCCGTGACACTCATGGGACGACCCCACAGCCTTTCTTTCCCTTTTTCCTCTCTTGCTTCCACAGAGGGGGGAAGACATTGACCCCTGACCTTCGAGTTTGGCTTCTTTTGCTTAATATAATGCTCTCAAGTTCATCCACTTTTCTGCAAAAGGCATGATTTCAAACTTCTTTATGGCTGAATAGAACTCCATTGTGGGGCCTGGGGTGTGGCTCAGTGACAGAGTGCCTGCCCAGCACATGTGAGGCRCTGGGTTCGATCCTCAGCACCACATAAAGAGGAACAAATAAAATAAAGGCACTCTATCCATCTACAACTACAAAATAATAATAATAATAAAATTTTAAAAAGAAACTCTGTTGTGTAAAAAGCACTTTTTCTTTATCCATTGGTCACTGAGGGGCCCCTGGCTGGTGGCACAGCCTGGCTGTGGGGAACGTGCTGCTGTCAACATGGTGTGCCCGTGTCACTGGGGCAGGCCGACTCTAATTCTTAGGGTGATTACTGAGGAGGGGGTGGCTGGGTCACGTGGTGGTGCCAGGCCTGGCCTTTTGAGGACCCTCCACACCGGTTTCCGCAGTGGCTGTACTGATCCACAGTCCCACCAACATGGACAAGGGTCCCACGTCCTCTCCGGCACCCCTTATTGGTGTATTTTTGGCGGCCGCCATGCTGACTGGTGTGAGGTGAAACCTCAGTGTGGTTCTGATTTGCACGTCCCTAATGGCTATGGTCTTGAAGATTTTTTCATGTCTTTGTTGGCCATTTGCATCTCTTCTTTTGAGAAAGGCCTGTTGGGCTCATTGCCCACGTACCAATTGGATCATTTGGTTTTTGGTGTGAAGTGTTTGAGTTCTTTCCTATTCTGGATATCCATCGTCTGTCAGACGAGTAGCTACGGYGGTTCTCTCCCGTTCTGAGGGCCTCTCTCCACGTTGTTGACTGTCTCCTTCTCTGTGCGGGGCTTTTTAATTCAACGCCCTTCCGTTTGTTSACTCTGGGCCTATCTCCTCAGCTCTAGGGTCCTTCGAGAGAGTCCTCTCCTGGCCTTCATGCTGCAGTGCTGATCTCCATTTTCTCCTAGGAATTGCACAGTTTCTGGTCTAATTCCAAGGTCTTTGATCATTTTGTGGATTTTTTGTGCAGGTGARAGATAAGGGTCTAGTTTCATTCTGC